ACACAAATAAATGCACTTTTATTTAATACAATAGCAAAAAAACTACGAAACAAATAAATAGCAGGAAATTATATAATTAGTAAATTAATACTTAAATTAAACTAATTTTAAAAAATAACATAAGAAAACGAAAAAAAACACAAAAACACTTAAAGTAAACTAAAAAACATTACAAAAAACGTCAAAAAAATAGGTATCAAAACACCTGAAAACCCCCTAAAACTTCTTAACATTAGTCTTGGCCTTCATTTTCTCATTAACCGGTACATCGATGAACACCTCCTTATTACCCCTCTGTTTATCCCTTAACTGCAGTTTAATCTTCTGATCCAATGTCTTGACTTTGGTCTCGACCGGCGGCTCACCGTCACCCTCAGGATCACCACCACTGCTATCACCCCTCAGACTGTCCTCATGGGTGACCACCTTAACGCCGGCCATCGCTTTGGACGCCTCCTCGGCCTTCAGCTCGTCATCCCAGCCCTCCTCGACCGTGATATGTATGTCAGCGCCGGGTCTAATGAGTTGCGACTCGTGCGCGAACGCAATCTTATTGATGATCCGGCCCTCGACCTCGTGTTTGATACTACGGGCGCCGTAGTGGACGTTATACTCGTCGGCTATCAGCCCTACGATACGCTTATCCCACGTGAGCGACATCTGGTGCCGGAGTTTCGCCCGTTCCGCCCAAAACCGCAACTCCCGGACCACCAACTCATTCAACTCCTGGCGACTGAACGGCAAAAAGTACACCATTTCGTTGATCCGACCCAAGAACTCATCCCTTTTGAAGTGCTGTTTAAGTATCGGACGGATCACCTGCTCCTTAAACTGCTTGGACACCTGTAGTAGACATACACGGGTTAATACACGGCTGACATATACCGATTCCCCTCCACACATACCTGTACGGTGTCTTCGGGCACGTCCTCCACGGTGTCGAGCGATGAGCCGCTGGTGAGTCGGGCTTTGGTTACGTCGTCGGCCGCTTTGCGCAACTGCTGGCCGTAGGCGCCGATCTCATCGCTGGCCAGGTTTGAGGTCATTATAAATATGGCGTCCTTGCACTCGATGGTCTTCCCCTTGCCGTCCGTTAGCCGTCCCTGTGGTAGGCATACAGTGGTTAGTGCGCGAAAAGTCTGATATCTGACATACCTTTCCCACCCGCGCTCTCATAGACATAGACATACAGCTAATCAACCGGCGCAAACAGCTATTTAAATGCTAACTACAGGCCTTACACCCCACACACACACAACCCCTACCCCTCTATACACACCACACCAGTGGACGGACACCACCCTAATGGCACCCATACCTCATCAAACAGCTGCAGCAGTATCGTCAGGACGTCATTGTGCGCCTTCTCCACCTCATCGAACAGCACCACCGCATTGGGACACTCCCGGAGCGCTTTCGTCAGCTGCCCGCCCTCGTCGTGGCCCACATACCCGGGCGGCGCCCCTATAAACTTGGACACCTCGTGCTTCTCCTGATACTCGGTCATATCCATGCGTATGAACCCACGGCGCTGGTCCTTAGGGTGCAAATACATGGCCACCTGTTTAGCCAACTCGGTCTTACCGATCCCGGAGCTGCCAAGGAATAGGAACACCAGCGGGTGCTCGTCGTCGTACCAGCCGTTCTCCCGGCGTCGTATGGCTGACGAGACCAACTGTATGGCCGACTGTTGGCCAACGATCACCTCTTTGATGCGGTCCTCCAGTGGGAAGCGTTGGCGCTCTTCGAGTTGCCGTTGCTTTAGGCGCCGCTCGTACTGACCCTCGGCCTCCCGGAGCCGGTCGCCCATCTCCTGGGCCTCTTGTTTGCAGTAGTCGTACGGCTTGTGTCCCATTTCGTTCTCCAGTGAAGGGTTGGCACCTCTCGCGAGTAGGAGTTCCACTGTAGGCTTGCTGTTGGCTAACACCGCGTAGTGTAGGGCACCGGTACCTCTAAACGACACCCTCGTGGACAGCATGTCCGAGAAGTCCTGCTCCCGCGTGAGTGTCACCCGAAGGTAGTTAAGGCCGTAATAGTAGGACATCTTCTGAGCGCTCGAGTAGTCGTCGGTGGCGTCGATGTCGGCGCCGGCGTCCAGTAGTAGCTCACAGATGTCTGTCCGCCCGTTGACGGCGGCCACCATAAGGGGAGTCCAGCCTAAGACGTGTCGACACTCCCGGATGTCCACCGATTTGTCGGCCAGTGTCTGGCGTACGGAAGGGGTGTCCCCGCGTTTGATGGCCTCGAATAGGCGTTCCTCTGCCGCGGTGTTGACGCCTTTGTGTCGATTGCCGCCGGAGTTCTTGTTGTGGTTATTGTTGTCGTCTCTGAGACACTGAACGGTAGCCATAGGTATGGCCAGTGGTAGGGATGATAGCCATCGGCGGCACTGTTGTAGCCATTCCTCCGGAGTAGTAGTCGTCGTGTGCAGAGGTTTGTGGCTATTATACGAGTCTTTGAGGCGCTCAATGGTAGCGATGGGTAGTGATGATAGCCATCGGGGGTGAGGCGACTGTTGATGGCTATGGAGTCGGAAGTAATGATAGCAACAGTAGATGGAGGCCAGGGATGAGGCGCTGGCGGTGAGTGTCCAGCGATGGCCACCACGAGGTCTCGCGTGCGATAGGATGTGGTGATGATGTCTGCAGTGGTGGCGAGTAGTGAGTGGTAAGTGTCTGGAGATGTGCCGCAACTTCGCCGCCAAAGACATTGCGGTGTCTGTCAAGTGGTCGACAATTGTCTGTAGAGATGACTAGTGATGGACACAAATGGAGTCAAT